TCATGAGAAATCAAAACGCTTACCACAAAGACCAGACCCGACAACTGAACAAAAGGAGTAAATACACACACTTTAACAAGGGAACTGAATGAGAGACAGATGACAATAATCAGAAACTAAGGAAATTAACTAGGGAACAAAGTTTTTTTTTTAATGATTTTTTAAATGTTTTTTTAAATATATTAATCTCTGTTGGAATGAAAGCATTACAGCTGAACATAGAGCTGCTGTACAAAAGAAACGTGAAATGCCGGCAAAGGCTTGATATCCCTACTGGGACTTCAGAGCACTGGGACTTCTTTCTTGTATCTTTAGGCTCCACAGTTCAGATTTAATTGTTTTCCTGTTGGCTCTCGGTGCGGTTAGTGGTTTAATTCTCATTTATCTACTTATCACTGCAGTTCCCACAGAGATTTCCAGCCTGAGTCAGCAGTGCAACTGGAAACAGCCATGGTAACTTGCTAATGCTAGATTGACTGATAACAGCTATCGTAACTGGCTGATGTTACATTTATACAGTACAGTAAAGTAATAGAGAAGTTCCCCAAAAAGCCAAAAATTCTGCCATTATTTACCCTTGCTGATGTTATTCCAAATGAATCTTTAAATGAATCTTTACACAGCTTTTTGCATATAACAAAAGTTCATAGTGACCAGGTTTTTCAAAACGTGCAAAATAACAAAGTTTTTTACAATGAACTAAACATGACTGAATTGTGGAAGAGTACTGTGAAGTTAACCCTTTTGAAAAACTAGTACATTTTAGCATATATATGACATTTCTATTAAAAGCAGTTATCTGAACCTTTTTGATCCCGTGTACTGACAAGCATTTATGGTGAAATAAATTAAAAATACACTTTGATGTCCTTTCTACTGAAACTTGCATGTAATTTTTTTTTATAAATATGTAATTACACACTTGTAACAATTAATTTGCAATTTAGTACTTTTAAAATGTATTAACTTGAATGTAATATTATTGTAAACCATAATTAATTCAAATGTAATGTATACTCACTTTAAGTACATTTAATTAATATTATGTTATGTGCAAATGCATTTCGAAAAGTATACTTTCAATTGATACACTCAGTACAATGTACATTCAATACATTTAAAGGCATTTCTCTGTCACAAGGGGAGGCTGACCTCAAGTATACAGAAATAAACCTGACCACATATTTTACAATATGGGCAAGGCCCATAAATATATTAAATACATATATTAAAACATTTTTTAAAACAGACTCACTAAGGTAAGACTGCTGTGATGAACATGATGAGAAACTACTGTTTCGAGGGTAGAATGCGAGAAAAAGCGAGAGCAGATGTTTGCGATGGAACACTTCTCCATGCTCACTGTTCTCTGAGCATCACCCAATAACACTAAACTCACCTGGGGAGCCATTTGGTACGGTCCATTCCTCAACACCTGACCATAAACATGTCATTGCTTCTGTTCAGCACGGCTTATCTCTCACAGGGAACAGATGCGGGTCAGCACTGGTTTTAACCTCCTCATATACTGGAGTTTTACAGCGTGAAAACTGTGCTGAAGAAAACCAAAGCATAAAGTAAGTCACTTGATGAGAGTGTTCGATTCGCTTCCTTAAAGGGGTCATATGGCTTTCACCGTGGACGAAGCGGAGTCCAGCCCGGGGTCGTCACATGTGGTTGACACTCCTTCGTCGAATCTGCCGGCCGCGCCGTTCTCAAGCCCGCCCGCCGCCTCTGCTCACTCTAGCCCGGCCTCAGCTCGCTCTAGGCTGTGGCTTCAGCTCACGCTAGGCCGTCGTGTGTTTCGTTGTGAAAGCGAAACTACTTTGTTTGGCCTTCCAAAAGAGGACACGACTACAAATCAGTGGTTAAGGTATATTTACAACACTGTTCCAGAACAGTTTAACCTAAATATTAATTCCACTGGATGCAACAAATGCCTCGTTTGTAATGGGTTTTAATGTTTTGGTCTCGTCGCTACGGCCGGGACACGGCATCACAGTATGGTAGGGGCGTAACATTTCCGTCACACACTTGAGGTATTCAGCCAATCACAACGCACTGGATAGCTGGCCAATCACAGCACACCTCGCTTTTCAGACCGATGAGCTTTGTAAAAATCGACACGTTTCAAAAAGGCGGGGCATGGAGGAGAAACAATAATGTACAGTATGTGGAAAATAATGTGTTTTTTGAACCTTAAACCGCATAAACACATTTCATTACACCAAATACACAAAATAATGTTCTTTTTAGCAACATCATATGACCCCTTTAACTTTCTCAGAAGTCCATCGGCTTTGAAGAATTACCTTTAGTTTAAAAATATAATGCAGATCAGTCACACGTTTTTATTTTATATTAACAATGCAGTCTTTTGTCAGAGATTTCACCCAGATAGACTGTATATAGTCCTCCAAGTGTGTGACGTGGTTGTGTAATTGTGGCATTTACATAGCTAAACCATCTGCCGAATGTTTGAGATACAGCTAGGGGCCTGTAAGGTGGCCGAAGGAAGCTGGTATTGTGCCCGCTTAGAGTCAGCTAACTACAGACCTCCTGGCACACACACACTTAAAATACACTGCCAAAAGTAATCCTGAGTTATTTTTTTAACCCAAATGCTGGGTTGAGCCTTTTGGGTCATTTTTTGGGGGTTATTTTTTCAGTGTTTGGGTAGTTTTTGTTACCCAGCTCCTGGTTCAAATGTAACAACCCAGTGTTTGGGTTGTTTTGCAGCTCCTGGGTCAGACATAACAACCCAATGTTTGGGTAGTTTTAGTGTTACTCAGATCCTGGGTCAGACGTAACCCAGCGGTTGAGTTATTTATCACGGGGATTTTGCATCTTCTCTTCATGAGAGAGCAGTTCTAAGCGCCATCGAATTAATCAATCAAGAATGATTTGCTACAAAAATTAATAATGTGTCTGTGTGAAATTACAAATATGCTTGATGATTTATGCGTGACATTTTTATTTCATTTTTACACCATTTACTTATTCAACTTTAATTACAATAAGTGTTTATATCATAATAAATGGAAAAACAACAAATCAGTTTACATAATCATCATAAGCAAAATAATAAATGAAGATGGAAATGAAGAAGATATTAAATCAACAATGGGGCTATTTCTTAATTTTATTACAGTTTATATTGGCATAATATATGGTTTTTCCTAGTCTTTTTACCTAGTTTTATATTGTTGTAATAAAGATGCTGGATGCTGTATATAGCCTATATATACATTTCATTAGCTGAAATGTCCTCTGAAACATTAACAAATAAGGTGCGCATTGTCTCTGAACCACCCAAAATAATTTATTTTAACTGTGATATTTAGTGTCATTCGCCAGGGGGCAGTAAATACTATTTTTTTCTTCTTTTTCTAAGGAGACCCCACAACCAGTCTATTTATTTGTTGGTTTGCAAGTATCTCAGAAGCAAACTACTTTCATCCCTAAATAATCAAAATAACACAATGTTATTTTAAAATGCATTATATCAAATGTATTTTAAATGTGAATTCTACAACCAAAAATTGCTGCAGTTTTTTCAAACTGTCAAGGTTAATTAGTATAAAAACAAGAAAGGCAGAACACAGAGTATGAAAGAAATCCATTCAAATCAAATCAAATAACATTCCTTTCACATTGTAAGCTACTATTAGAAATAATAACAACAATTGATGATGCGTGAGTCATTTTTTAAATTTATTTCTGTATTCTGATTTTTTTAATTCTGTATTCATTTCTTTTTTTATATAGGCTAGGCTTTATTCATTTATTTATTTTATTTTATTTTTATTTTTTTTGTGGTGTAACAGCGCATACGAACAAGGCAATGCACACACATGCACACGTGCTTTCTGTTTATTATGAAAATATATGTTCTCAGCATTAGGATTCATCAATAGCCCAAAGGGTGCATGAGTGAAGGGGGCGTGATATCTCACAGAGGGTGGGCACGCACACACACACACACACACATACACACACACACACATACATTTCCCTTCTGCTCTCTATTGTTGGAAAAATAGCCTACAATCCACAGCCGCAAACACAGTCTCTGGCGCTCCGGGAGGCCATCTAATGAGTGTGCTTAGGTTTCTAAAATAACTCATTCATTTTTTGAAAGAAAATATTTATAAGAGAGGAAAAGAGTGACCAACACGCCCCCTGACACTATGCAGGATTCATGACATCGCAGCTCTCACTGTCAGGATCGCGCTCTTTCCCATCTGACACACACAGCCCGCGCGCCGCTTTGTGTTGAGCTGCTCCGACTCGTTTTCGCGAATCGGTTCTTTTGAGCAGTTAATTTAAATTAAGCGGTTCAGAAAAGATTCATCGGTACTTTTACGTCACACCCGTACCCAAGTGAAAATGTGAAAATCTTTAAACAATACATGCCGATGTATGCAACGTATTTCTTTATACTGTTTTGATTAAGTCAGCCTACATTAGGCTAATTCACAAGCATTCAATTTTGATGTGTTTTATAATTCACACTAAGTGAGACTAATGTAACATGAAGTCCTGTTTCATTTGCTTTTCTTTGCAAGTTGAAAATACCACTCAGACAAATGCTGATTTTCTTATTGCTCTCATTAGGCTATTTGCAGAAATAACCTACTTTGGATGTAATTAAGCATGTCTCTCTTGTTTCTTATACAGCTGTGATTACAGTGTAGCCTAACACAAACCATATATACCACCGTTAAAAAAAGACAGCCGCCGTTTTGCCTTAAATCTCTTTGTCGGACAAGATAACTTATCAAAACTTTTCATCTGTAAATAGCACCTATGCACATCCACAATTCTCTTTTGATATTTTCTGTTTCTCTCTCTTTCTGAGAACCGCTCCGACCGGATCAGACCAATTCGCGAAAGAATCGACCAGTCCAATTGGTGAACCGGTTCAAAAGAACCGACTCAAAAGAAGCGAAAAGAGCGATCTGAGGAGGAGAGGCGCATCTGGAGACAATAGGAGCCAATGCAGAGCTGCGCTTTGTCGCTCTGGTCGAGGGCTGTGCCGTCAAAACGCAGAAATATAGAGATGACGGAGCGCTGAATCTGGATATATTTCCCGTTGTTTTGAACTGTGAGATCTAAGAGGAGAGATGAATTCTGCTGAAGCGGCGGAGGACGGACCCAATGATTCAGACACGGATGCCTTCTTCAAAACAGGTACGATGAGAGGAGAGCTGGAGGGACCGTGATCTCTGTAGAAACGTTGGCTCATATTACAATTGTTGGTTTTATGTTTTCATCATTTCTATGCACCCTTTGCATGACGTTTAACTCCGTTACCTTATGTATTCCTCTTTAAATTGCCAATTGCTCATTTTATTTCTTTTTCACAGCTCTTTAATCTTATTTTGAATTTATTTGAATGTATTTTTAGTTAATACTTATTTTTTTCTGATGTATTCAACTTTATTAGGCTATATTATTTTGTATATATATATATATATATATATATATATAAACTTAATAGAAGATTAAAGAAAAAAGATGAGACCCGAAGTCAAACTGAAACTAATGGGATAAATCATGGCATTTTGTGGTTTAAGGATGCTTGAAGTGCAGGGTTGTGTGATGGGGATGCTGAGCATTAGTACCGTTATCCTGTTTGGATTGACAGTTACAATGAGCTTTAGTCTGAAAGCCCAGCCCAGCACAGATCTCCTGAACAGCACCACACAGCTGCTTGATAACTTCTCATACATTATTTCTCAGGATTGTGGTTATTCACTTGCATGCTGTAAAACACAAAATGGCTGGCTCGTTGTCATATATTAAGACCAAGTGTCAAATCACTGTCACTTTTATATCCTTAACTGGGCTTCATGCTGGGCTCATGGGACAGTGATTGGAAAGAAGCTAATTACAAACACTCCTCTGTTAATATGTGTCATTTGTGTAAAAGCTCTTTGCTTTTGAGTGTTGGATGTGCCAAGAAGTTTTTGGTGGGATGTGTGCTTAACAGCAGTTTGAGGGAGGCTTTTATAGCAGAATCAGCCTCTTCTATAAGCTTTTGGTCTTTATGTTAGGAAGATTGGAGTCAGGAGTTTACAGATTTTAGGTCTGGCGATTCTATAATTGTTGACATATACACATTTGTAACAAGCAATTTCCTTGTAACATATGTATCTAAACTATTTAATGTTGTTCATATTGTCTTTGCAGAGTGGACATAAATATTTATAATGTGTCTTTTGAGTTGAGTGCAGTTGTCATATACTAGCAATGATGTCACAACAACCCTTGACGTCTAAAAGTGGACACCAGGTCAAAATAGAGGCAAGACCTTGTATCATGTGCAGTATCTCTGGAGTTTATAGAGAGGAAATGGCTGGTAGAAATGCTAATGTTTAAGTAAGTGGTCCAAGCTGTAAGACCCCTGCTGAGGAGTGATGCATAAACCCTTTACACGGTGGGCTGTAGGTCAGGATGCTGGTACATTACAATCTCTCATGTGCACACACATGTACGACTACTGCATAACACGAAATGCACAAAACTTGTTTTTTCCACTTGTCTTTTGAATGTGAGTGAGGTTCAAGGTGAGGTTCTTTGGAGGAAGTGTGTGAAGTATCTCAGTTTTTGAGCTGCAAGCACAAGCTGATAAATAACAAGGAGCTTCAGAGTAAACTCACAAAAACAGTTGGAACTCCTGGACATTGGAAGCATGGAAATGTTGACAGATTGAACCAGATTTGTACATTTCTGAAGATTTTCTTTCATGGTTTTGCAGAGCTTGCTACCATAATAAAGTTCTGTTGGTGACTGTCAGGGTGTTGATTTATGGTTGATAGCGTGTTCTAGGTGGCCACAACAAAGTCTCTATGATATTCCAACCTGATTTCATGAGAAATCATAGCTATTTTAAAGGTGGTGATATGTATGAATTTGTGCTAGCCAGGCTCATTGGAATACGTGCATCTATTTACATTTCTGCAAAACTCAAAAACTTACCTATATGTATGAATCATTGCAGTTTCCAGTTGAAATGATCGGTAGAGGCAGTAGAACACTGACAACTTTTATTTTTTTTCACACAAATTATGATTTACAGGGCCAAAGTTTTGATTAATAAAGCCGAATTTTCACACAGTTCCTTCCACAATATTATGTTATGACAATTTTACTGTGCTGCGCAATACGTCATGAATAGAACGCAGCAGCAGTTTTCTGTCGGGGATTTGTCGTGTCGTGCCGCGCCACATCCATTGTAGACCATAGATATGTACACTCTAAAAAATGCTGGGTTAAATATAACCCAGCGCTGGGTTAAAAAGGGACAAACCCAGCTATTGGGTTGTTTTGACCCAGCGGTTGGGTTGTTTTGAACCCAACCGCGGGGTCATAACCAGTGTTGGGAAGGTTACTTTGGAAATGTAATAGGTTACAGATTACAAGTTACCAAACCGTTTGGCGGAGGCGCAGAGAGCGCGCGAGCCGAAGCATTGCCAGTCACGACTAACCGATTTATTAGAGATTTAATTATCGAATTGCGAATTCGGAAATAATCGCTTTAGTACATTTTGTAATTAAATTACGTAACGCCGTTACATGTAACTAGTTACTCCCCAACACTGGTCATAACAACCCACTCGCGTCCGGTGTAGACACGGTGTAACATTGGTTTTGCTTTGTTTCACAGAACTAATCGTTGCCTGGGTTGCGTACGTATGTGTGGGGCGGAGCTATCAAAATAGGGGCGAGACCCTTTTTGGGTAGGGGCGTGTTTGTTTTGGTGATTTCAAATGTCAACATTGGCTACCAGAAATCGCTTACCCCACCTTTAAAAACTATTACTATTGAACGTTATTGTCACATATGAAGCTTCGTATGTATGGGTTTCCTGACTCGAGGTTTGCTGAGGTTTGCTCGGCGTTGCGCTTGTGAGCTGAAATGCTCCGGTACGAGCTACGGTTTGACACAACAGCTCAAACCCATGTAGAAGAAAGGTAAAATAGCACAGTTGCATCAGCGAATGTGTTTTTATATCACTTTTGCTTTCGTTAACACTATCGGGTAGGTTTAGGGTTGGGTTTGGTGTATAGGGGGTATTTCCAACAAGATAAAGCATGAACCTTTTAGTGACACTCCCCGGACATTTGCATTCTGAACCGCCGCAATAAATACATGAAGCTACATAATAAAAATGCAGCAATACGTGCCCGAACCATCATAATAAAAACATGGCCATGGTCACGTATTGAACGTGCGTTTTAGCGCCACTCACTGGAAATTTTAATTTGAAACTTCCGCAAAACATGCAATAAGGTAGAAACAACTCCACAAGCACATATTTCCAATGAGCCTTGCATTTGTACCATGTTAATCGTATGAAAATGGTTTTTAGACCAAAAAACAAGCATGATGGTCAACCCCTAAACATAACCGTGCATAAGCAGATTGCACGAAGACCCACAAATGAGATCATACAAATTAGCCACCAATTCACCAAACTGTAAAATAGTTACAAATTTCTATTAGATTGTCTTGAGTATTCTGCTCTCTAGTTCCCTCCATCAATGTCGATGGGATTTTACTTAATCTGCTTTGTAAGTCCAGTCACAAAGAAATAGCAAACCTCAACAAGCTGACAGAAATGGTTCACGATCAGTTCCATGGCAGTATATAAGCAATACTGAGGCTTTTTTCTCACCTAGAACTTCAGAGCAAATAAAGAACAAAGCAGGCTATTTTTAGGCCTGATCATAAAGGCATTGTTGAGCTGTGCAGAGCATTGGTTTTGAGATCTCCAGTGCCAATGATTAGCAGATGTTTGGAGGGCTGGGTGAGGTATCAAAGAGCAGAGGGTTTTTTACTGTGGTTTTACCCAGTGGAGGGGAGGACATCTGCCTGCAGAACACAGCCGTCGGCCGTCATCAATAGATATACTGATACATCCTGGCAGCCTTTGCCCCTGGGGCCAACAAAAAGACAGGAGGATATAATGGAGGAAGAGAGGGGCCGAGTCAATGGGACCATAAATCCTCTCTCTTCTGCCACATCCAATTGTAGTGGGTGTTTGCCCTCCTAGAGAAAAGACATTACGTGGCTGAGTGAACAGCAATCCATTCACAAGCGCTTCGCTCAGCTATCTGAAGAGGGTTTTATACCTTCAGCTCACTCGCTGCCTGTGTATTCAGTATTTATGGTTAGATTAACTTCTATACCAACACAGGGCTATGTGCCCTTGTGAAAAATAAGCATGCTATAGCACACTTTTAAGCAGTGTTTATTATGAAAATACATTTAAAAGAATTTACTATTTATTAGCATATATTCGAACCAAATGTATAGTTTATAGTTTAATTTAGTTTATATTTTGAGTGCTTTTGACCCACGTAAGTACATCTTTATATGTCATTTCATAATTATTTATAATGTCTTTGAAATTTGGTTAAAAAAGTGTACTTCTGAATATACTGACAAGCATTTAACCATTTAAAGTCATTTGAATCTTGTATTTCATGTATTTTAATATATTTGTTGTTACACATTTCCCGTCATGAAGTGGCAGTTCAGTACCTTTAAAATATATTAACTTTAAACATAATATTTGAATATCACACTACAGTTAAAATCATAATCAAGCATGTTACATAAAAATAAATTTACTTCTTAAAGGCATGACAACATATTATTAAAACAATGATTTAAAATGTACTTTAACATTATATTTAACATTTTAATAACATTAAATCACTACTATTATATTATTTGCCTTTTTTAACAACACATTTTTAAAATTTGAAGTGCACTGCAGACAATACAATTAACACTTCTTTTTCACAAGTGTAGCTTTTTTATTAGATAATTTCTCTCTGATTTAGATGATTTCTCTCTGAACCCATGAAGACGTGAAAACGAGTCACTGCAGCTCTGAGTACATTAATTTGGCTGCTATTCTTTGTATAAAGAGGTTAGTTTCTGAGAAATTAGAGAACGACCTCTCTCCTCTCATAATAATTTTGTCGATTGTCATATTTGGACCCCTCCTTTGTTATCCTTCCTGTTATAAGCTGTTATCTCCTTCTGAAGTCCTCTTTAGCACTGCTTATTAAACATTAAATGACTGTGTGTAATGCCGAGTTCACACTGCATGATTTTAGCCCGATTTTTCCCTCGCCGACAGGTTTTGCGAAATATTTGGCATGCTAAATATCTGC